GAAATGAGCAGATGACGTCAAAACCCTCGGCAATCATCGTTCACAAGGGATATGGAGGAGCTGGTTAAATTTGTTCACGAGGGTAGAATAAGAGGCTGGGGATGTTAGGTGGTAGCAAGCCCAAGGTAACTGATAATGACGATGAGAACTCCAAGTCCCATAGGTCAGAAAGGAATCCTGATGGACGTCGACAATAAGCGAAACGGAAGCGGCTTAGAGAATATGCGTCAACTTGGCTCCAATTGCTTTATTGAGATGTTGGTTAGGGCAGACATTTTGTTTTGCGAAGGACACGATTCATGAGTGCAGGAAAACAAGTGTTTAGGTCCGCTCCATCGCATTAGTCGCGGCAGGTGCTTCCAAGATTGTCCAATTCTCCTTGACACGCGACCATCCCGTATTTGTACCGACGCACTATTCGTCATCGCTATTAACTGTGTTGCGGGCTTTTGTCAAGTCCACAAAGGAAGCGGTTGGGTCGTAATTTTGGCACATTGCCTGTCAGTGAAGGACAGCGAACATCATGCCTTCAGTTCCGCGATGTTTTAGGGCCAACGTTGCGTTTCTGTAAGAAGCCACTGCTCCACATGCGCGTTTAGGCGACTGAGTCGAACACAAGAGAAGTTCTTCATGCAGTGTTAAGCAGGGAGATGCCGTTGTGCTAATAATATAATCGTAGATTACACTTGGGTTTTCTGCTGTGCATAATGGTAGCATCGTTGAAGTCTCTTAGAAAGCGTCCTTATCACCACACCCCCTGAGGTAGCAAAGTAAACTCTCCAACAAATTGTACACTGCCGTACTTGTAGACGTTTACCATAATTAAGATAGTTCCCGATGTTTTGTCGCTGGATATCTGGCGTAAAGCTGAGATGGTCCATTGAAGTGAGGGTAAACGGTGGAGGTTGGCATTTGGCTTAACTTAAAGGAGCCCGTTTTTGAGGATGCCAGAGTAAGGCTGGTCTACTGAAAATGCTTCTGTAGTGCTCAATCCAGTTTTCAGAATTCACGTTTTCTCCATGATGATTGTTGTTCGGCTACTAAGGAACAGTGGCTGGACTCCGTAAACGGCCTTGCTTGATGTTGAGAAAATCCACGTGGTTGTAATCCGCATATCCTTGTATCTATGTCATTTTTCTCTCCTGCAGTCGTTGTTGAATCAAGTAGTAAGGTCTAAAGAGGATCGCCACGTTTGTGTTGGTTTTGCGGTGAAACCTATCTTATCGGACTGCGAATTTCTTAGTCATTCTCGTCAGTCCAATCCTTATGTTGACGGCGAGCGCGACCGAGTACTTTCAGGACGTCGAACTTAACAGCATTCCGTATTTGGCGACAATTCACCTCCTCGGTGGCATTTTCGTCCATCAAGCGCATTCCTTCGGGACGATGACACAGGTGATCGCTTAGATTAAGGCCGCAGGAGAACGCATGAGATAGAACAGTTCTCAACTTACATGATGATCGCTTACTTTAAGGTTTCTCGCGGCGTCTAGGCCGCAAGCACACGGCGGAGATGACATGGCAGTGATCCGTTGAACTGTCGGCAGTGCGAATCGCCAATAACGATAGCACTTCCTGCGTTCTCGCCTCCGGACGGAAATATAATCCATCAGCTGCCAGCAGTGCGAGCGCTGGTACATCCACGTGGCATTCTCGTGCGTCGGGTGGTGGGAGAGATTGCTGATCCGGTGCTTATTCTTCAAATAACACTAATTTATAGCGGTTTTGGCAGAGATACTATCAGCATGAAGTAATAAATCAAGCTTATTTGTATAAGTTAGACTTTGGTCTTTTATGGTGGGGCATTCTGAGAGTGGGTTATTCTGAAAAATTATGGGACCAGGAAGTTTGGCAGGACCAAAAGACGTGAAACTACGCTTGGATGATACAAACTGCATCTGCCTTGTTGAACCCCATCTGCATAAGCGTAGTAAATCGGCATTAATTTTTTCAACACAAACGTTTGCGGTGTCCTCAGAATATGAGTAAACACACTTGAGGTCATCAGCATAAGTAAATTTTGCGAATTTCCGAGTTCAGTCGAAAAATCACTGATGTACAGAAGGAAGAGTAGCGGACCCAGAACCGTACCTTGAAGTACGCCACTCGTGATTGAGAGAGGTGTCGAGGAGCTATTACCGACCATGCCTTTCTGATATCGGTTGGACAGATAATGACCTGATGTAGTTGAGTAGAGGTGGCCGGATGCCGAGAGCTTCCAATTTGACTAAACTGACGTCTATGGGGCACCTTGTCAAAGGCTTTGCTAAGATCAAAGTAGATAACTACCACTGACTGCCGCTCATCACGAAGAGAAGTGATTAGATTAAGACATGCCAAGTGGCAAGTTTCGAAGAATCGTTCAGGTAAAAATCATGCTGACTAGAGCTCAGAAGCCGATTACCTAGACAGAAGTCAAAAATTTCATTGAAAATAATCCTTCCAAGAAGCTTTGTTAGAGACGGCGTTTTGTGCACGCCCCGATAGTTATTAACATAGGACCGAGATCCGGACTTGAAGACGAGAATGATAATTGACGTTTTCCACGTTTCAGGAAGGAATCCTTCTAAAATATAAACAGAGAATAAATGACTAAGCAACATGGTAAGGTCTCACACTAGTTCAATAATCGAATTTGGAATCCCGTCCGTTCCTGAGCAGTGTGAGTATTTCAAACGACTTCTGTGTTTCTTAAATAGATCTGAGGAGACATCGATTGTACTCTGTGTCCTATCTGAAAGTGAGCGAAAGAAAGGGACCGGTTCGGACTCAGTATTAAGGTGTTTTGCAAAGAAAGCACTAAACAACTCCGCCTTGTCAGTGTCATCGATGAGGAAGACTTTGTTATCATTTAGCAGAGGTAGGAGTTCGTGACCACGCTTAGAGGAGGATCGATGACGGAAGATGTAAGCGACGGATTTGCCAGCGTTCGAATCACTGAGGGCAAGTGATTCTCTTTGCGCGTCGCGCGCTTGGCGCATCCTTGAGGTCGTCTCAAAAATCTCTGTGATTCTAAAATGAACTGATAAGGAACTAATGGATGGGTCACGCAGCTGCCGTCTCAACATTTTTAGTCTGTTGTGAGGAAAATGAGGAACAAGGGAATCTGAAGAATTAGGCTTAAGATATCTCTGAGATCTTTCTGCGTTTCTACTTCTAGAAGTGGCATTCCGTTCAGATGGTAATGCCGCGTACTAGGGGTCTGATGTCCTAGGCGCAGTCTAGTACACTTGTTCAAATTGAAGGAGAAGAACCATCTGAGGGAACGCTCGTCCAAACGACAAAGATTTTCTTCGAAGTTGGTCTCATCGGCAGCATTCTGGATGACTTTACAGATTTTTATGTCATCCGCAAAAGTGGCACCATTACAGTCCACCCCAATGACACAATCAGAGGTTTACAAGAGAAAGATGTTTGGTTCGAGCACTGAGCCTTGTGAGACTTTACTCTCTATGAATGTGCGCCTCGATTGCTGTTGCCATACGCAGATAATTTGGGAACGCCCGTCGAGGAAATTATCGATCCATTTGAGAAGTTTTCCGCCGATGCCCTTGACTTTCAAATTGTACAAGAGACGCTGGTGCGGAACACTGTCAGACGTGCCTATACTTTGCCGCAAGAGCACTACTACCTTTTTGTAAAGGGGTGTAATGTGGGCCGTCTTCCATTCTGTGGGAAGGATTTCAGCACCAAACGATTTCTGGCACATAAAAACTGGCCAGAAAATTGCGCTACTGCGGGCTTGCATGATATTATTTCGAACAAAGGTAAGGTGACTAGAACCATTGTTTCTGGCCTATAAGTCGTTGTCAGCCAGTCATATTCACCCCCAAGGTGTTGAAAACCTGTTGGTTAGAAGTCCAACTTCCCTCAACAATGAGGCGTGGGACCGATGTCCCATAGTCTGTACTCGGGTACATACAAAGGTAAAAAGGGGCTCGAGAGACAGCCCCAATGCAAAACGAGACGAGTGAGTTCGAAGCAAGATCTGTGAGTAGACTTCTACCACTACGGAGTTATTATACCTTATTTTGTAAGATTATTAGGACATTTAATTTCAGAAGTTGCAGTACGATCTTTAAGTCCGTTCCCTCACCTTTATAATAACAGAATGTCCCCTTTTATGGCCTGCGTTCTGCAAATCATCGAATTCCAACATCTCATATTCCTTGTCGGTATCTAAATATCTGATGAACTTGGTTGTCGCAGCTGTGCGACGTCCAGAATTTCCGAATCCGTCTTAATCTCAACACAAACTTTAAAATGCATGCTTGATTAGCACGGCAAGACTTAGAACCTCGTTAATATTTGCGAAAGAATGCAATGCAGATGTTGCTGTAGGTTGAGCTGGTAAACTTGATCCAAATGTAATTAAACTCGCGTCGGCCGGTGGGGCTTCGCAGCTCAGAAAGTTAGAGTGTTGGCGTACTAAAGACCTCCTTCGCTGTCGTGGGTTTGAATCCCACCGATGCACTGACTTTTTCACAGTTGGGTTAAAGTGTAATCCGGAATTATTTTTCAGCCGACTTTTATAAAAGTTTAAACACTCGAGTTGAGTCGAACACTATACCAGGATGTGTCCATCCACCGACCACTGCATTGAACGAAATTGATGGTTTTCCGAAAACTGAGTTAAAACACTCTTCCCTTAAACTACAGCAACTGAAGCTAGTTAACCTGTACCTCGCTGTTCCACCCCGATCTTGATCTGTTAGTCTTGTCTGCAGACAATTATTTAAGAAAGCATGTGTTTGGCAGCTATACCCTAAATGTCCCATTCGGGTCAGCGTGTCAGTTCTCTTTTGCGGCTTCGCCTTGCCTGGTTTAGTGCCCCTGTTAGGCAGAAGAAGTACCACTACGCGCTGCAGCCAAAAATTATAGCCAAAAACGAGACCATCGACGCGAACGACCCACTTCTATACAAAACCGTAGAACCCATTTCGAAATGGACCCACTCGAGTAGCAATTGGGACCCTGTGGTTAACAAGCTAATCGGGTTAATGCTTTACGATGGTGAACGCGAAACCGCTCGCGAAGTTATGCGAAAGACTTTTGCCGAAATAAAATTTATGCAGGTCTTGTAAAATTGCTCCTCAACATATTTTGTTGCAGTTGGCTAAAATGAAGACTGCTAGTGCAAATGAACGCGAAGATTTGGAAGCCAATCCGATAGCGATTGTCAACCAAGCAGTCTCAAATTGTATGCCCGTCCTCATTCTGCACTCGGTGCGACGCGGTGGCTTCATTTACAAGGTGTCCATCGCATCGCATTTTTTCTGCATTTCTTCATCCTAATAACAATTCTACTTGGAATCTGAGCCGAAGTTAATCACAGGTTTAGAATATTCTTATCAGAGCGTGCGTCAGTATGGGACAGATAGTGACGCATAACTAAAATAGTTTGTATGAATTGTAAGTGTTGGCTCACCGTCCACGGATCGCGAGTTTAACATCTGCCCACGTTTATGTAGCCGATCGTACGCCTTCCTGAACGTGGTTTTAAATGCCTTTTCAAGCTTTTTGCGGGCAGACCGCTGATCGGCATTCCATTTTCTGAAGACATCTGCATAATACATAGCATATGAGCCAAGGATACAATACTTACCTGGAACTATTTCGTAAATGGGAGACTCGAACAAGGTCCTCTTCCCATGTTGTCCGTCAGAGAGGGCCAGGTAATAGGTAATCTCGTGGAAGAGGCCAGAAAATACGCGATCAGTGGAGGCGCTTATGGTTCCCCCCGAGGGTTGTTAAATGGGGAATCTGCCGTACTGTATATTAAGTAAAGGAGTTTATACCAGTTTCTTGCTGAAAGAAATGCCCGCGAAGCGGTGCTGAACACATTAAATTTCTCTATTGAGCCCATCCGATTAAAAATCGGGCCAGCTGGCAACACATTCGTTGCGGAACAACCAAGCACAGCGTCCAGCCTCCGCGCCAGGGCCTCCAGTAGTAATTGCTGTTCTTGATAGCGCTTCATATGCTGAGGCTCATACCTCACCAGCCAGCGCCAGACAGAACCGCATCAGCCAGTCGATTACATTAACATTCAGGCCACTCGTAGCAAGCGATAACAGGTCTCGAGTCAATGGCCGGCAGTACGACTGTACATCTGAGGGCTTACCGTAGCTACAATAAGTGCCTACCAGAAACTTCACTAACAAACAGCTGCATAATTCGATCAAAAATTGACAAGATTCACTCATGATGTAAAGATTTTGCTGTTGCACCTGATTTCCCTATTCGATGTTGTGCTCTCACTTATACTCGTCCCCAAAACCTGGAACTAGGATCGATCTCGTACTGGCTATATCGGACGGAGGTCATTAAGCCGTTTTCCGGCGCCCTTGAAAACCCTAGGCCCGACTCAGCTAGAACTGGTGATAGCCAATGACTCTTCTGAATCTCTTGGTTGTGTACCTCTGGCGCGAGCACGTAAGAGGGTAGATTTTTTATTATACGACGTAAAGTCGTGGCCGTTGTGGCCTTTGTCTTCATTTTCACTTAGGAAAAAATCCAAATTGTTATCTGATGACAAAAACTCACGTCTCCTAAACTATTCATACAGACTTATAATGTTGCGATCTCATCCAAAATGTTCGAGCGCATTTCCGATCCCGGCGCATACAAATTCCTTTTTTTAGGTTCCAGCACCTCCTCGAGGAGAAGAGGAAGCTCTTCACATAGCAATTAGACGGATTCTGGAGTCTGCGAATAGCAAGCCGAAGAACCAACGCATATGGGTATCATTGGCTCGCGAGTTGGTAGCTGCTTCAAGAAACGAGGGCAGTGCAGTCAGCAAAAAGAAGGAGCTTACCAAGCAGTGCGAAGAAAATCGGGCTTACGCTAATTACAGAATCTATTAGGGTACCTTATTTTTTACTGATGTAAATATATTTTACACAATAAAAACCGTTCACGGATCTCACTGACTTCTGCATCTTCACAAAAATTAGTTTTTTAAGCAACGTCCTGTCATAATATATCCTATGGAGAAACAGCACGGCGTCCCAGGACACCCCATATCTATGCAATAGAGAGTCCCTCCCAATCACACACTCTTTCAGGCCAATTTGGGATGTCTTGCTGCACCCGACTTCCTAACGAAACAAGTGTCTACCTGCCATCAGGAAGATTTCTTTGCTAGCTTTTGCGCGAAAGCTCTCCAACGATAACTAAATGATTAATGAACTCTAACGCAGATGTTTCGATATGATGCTAGAATTGTAACTTCGAAATACCCCGAACATGATGGGATATCATAACGAATATTTGAATCAACAGCTAGTTTCACTTCTGATCGCGATGGTACTAACGTCGAATGTTTCGTATGTCTTCGTTTTCCATATTAAATCGACTGTAAGCTTCTTGCCAGACTGTGAAATTTACAACCAATTCAGATCGCATTAATATGTATGCAAAATGACAGTTAATCTAAGTACTGTCCGTACGATTTCTGCTGAACGAACATAAGCGCGCATGGAGGACTAAAGTGTTTTTGAATTTAGCTAGGAATGTTTTACGCCAACAGCCCAAACATTAGTGCTAAGGACAACCGGCCGCAGTTGTATGTATTTTTCGGCATCTAGATTAACCGACTCCATTTCCAGCCATTAAACTCTTCTTTGTTAACATTCTCAGACGATCCTCTCCAAAGGGCCGCTTTCACGTTTGCGTAGGCTAATTTGCCTAATTTTCCAAGCACATGGACGAAATTCTTCAACCACAACAGCGCTCGATTTCGATCAGGCTCGAATACGTAATGTGGGCCTTATTGCGCACATTGACGCCGGCAAGACTACAACCACAGAAAGGATGCTCTACCTCTCAGGTATAGTAAATATTTTGGTGGGGGGAACGATTCCGTCTCTCCTGGTAGTCTCACTCAAACATCACCTCCAACACCCATGTGCATGCCACTGTCGGGTAGTTCCCTACCCTGCTATACTGTATCGAGTCAAGCATTTTAGACACTTCTGCCTTAGATTGGTCATTTTTTTGACAGAACGCGGTACATCGACGTATAGAACGCCAAGCATGCCAGCATTTAGCCAGCGGACAATGACGCTGCTAGTAGGATACAATAAGGGTCTTTAAAATTGCACCAGTTCTTTTTAATCTAGCGCGATTTGCAGTTTCTGCGTTTATGGTTACCGCTTGCCTCGGGGGAAGAAACTTACTCGGGAATTTCTCCACCTATAGCCATTAACAGTTTGTCACTCACGACGATAGGGAATGACAAGAAAAACAAGACGATGCAGACTGAATATGGACCGTGTGTCCTATTAATTTCGCCATTCATATCCACTTACTAAAGACGACGTGCACACATTTCGTCAACTAACGATCCTCTAACTGTATAGTGGATTCGGTGGCTATATGACTGAGGCCTCTTCATCCCTGTGGCGAGCGGAACCTGCACCAGAGGCTGCTGATCACCTGTATCTATCTTTACTAAAAGGATAGAATGCCATATATTTCATTCCTCCGTCGTTTAAGCACTTTTCTCATCCTATCAGAATTCAAGTTCCTGCACAATAGTAGGCATAACTCCTTGTAGAAGAAGGCTTCAAGCCGAATGCCTTGCTATAAATAAACGCAAGGGAAAGAAAGTATACTACCTCTTTAGATTTCCGCCTAAATTCAGGCGAATTACTGACCTGCGCCCACTCCTTTGTGATGTATTATTTAATTGCATCATATTTTTCACCCCGAACGCAGGTCAAACTCAGGCGATGGGTGAGGTTGACCGTGGCGACACAGTAACTGACTTCTTAGCGGAGGAGCGCGAGCGTGGAATCAGCATCATGAGCGCCACCGCCTGTCTCTCCTGGAAACGGCACGCCATCCATCTCATAGACACCCCGGGTCATGTGGATTTCACACTGGAAGTGGAGCGCAGTTTGGCCGTGGTGGACAGCGCTCTGACCATCATCGACGCCTGCAAGGGTGTCGAAACACAGACTCGTACTGTCTGGTAAAAGATGATTTCCTTGACCTACTTATGCTTAAAACTATTTCCATTTGGAATTTTGAAAGCATGTGTCAACTTACCTGACACAGAACGTAGGATTTCCTTGCTAGATGCCAGCAGCCTTAACTCCTCTTTACTCAATGCGCTCCTTCTATTCGAAAGACATGTTACCATCTGGCTTCGTGTATCCCTTTAAAGCTTCTTTTAATCGATGGCCACGTTTAATCTCTGGAAAACCGATCGTTTTTCTCTCTGCTTTCTCCCGGTGTATTTTATTTCAAAACTGGTAACACTAGAGACACCGCCTAAAAGAGCTCCAAATCCTATCTTTTGAGACGCGAGTACGTGAGGCAGTGATGTAGAACTTATTAACGTTTTGTAGACTGGTTCCGAAATGCTTCCACCAAGCCTTGTAAGTCAATATGTAAAGTATGTATGGCCTCGCGGATAGTTCTCTGCAGACAGGGCAATAAACCGTCGTTGCCTGATCGTCTTTATCCGTAACGATGTAAACTGTCCAGGCTGGAATCTGGAATATTGAGTTTCCTGTGAACAGCAATAGACATTCGACCTTTTTTGTCTGGTCTTTCGTTAAATCATACTGGCCTACACTAAAGGATTTGCTGGCGTAGGGGATTTTAAACCTGTTTAAGGACTTTGAGTGAATCATAGGATGATGACATTACTTAGAAACTCTAATGGTTGTGATCCCAAATTTCAAATACACCACTGACGCAATCTAGGGTCATTGCAGTACCAGCGGGGGAAGCAGGGGGGTCGAGCTGCGACCATTTTAGCTAAACCCGATACTCACATAATCGTGTATATCTGCATCTAGACCGCCGAAAATCGTTGTCAGTTTCATATTCCACGATTGAACGCGGAAGCCTATTTGACTTAGCATTCTCTCGAGTCCGAAGTTTCCCTTATCTGCCAATTTTTCAGGCTGTCGTCATGGTAGTTGGGCCAGTGGACAGTTTATGAGGATTGTCGCTGCTCACGAGTCCACCATCTGACCGGATCAACTTGTGCGAACATCTTACACTCTTACAGTAGACATCCCCTATCGGAGGTAAAGCCCCACGTTTTGTTACGTGCCTCCCCCATATCCGTCGTCGCCGTGTGCCGCCAGTTGTGAACCGCATCGAGTCTTCGCAACTCAGCAGTATAGATGGACAGTGTTTTCACAGTTTTGTAGCTAAATGCCCTTTCATTCGCACTGAAACTACAGGAGCTCTGAGCACTCTGTACGGGTCGAATGCGACACAATGACTGGACACGGTAATATAGACCTCTTCACCCTAAATTTCAGGGATACCTATCCCTATGCCTTGAGTTTAACCCTTACCCCAATTTTTACCATAAACCTAATCCCAGCCTCCCCTTAAATTGAGCGCAAGGCAACCTGTACTACGAGAGGTCCTTATTCCCGCGTGGTACTCATTTTATTTCCTCGTGGCACGATTCCCATTGCCCGGATTTACTGAGTGAATAAAGACGGCAACCTCTGGCTTATCGCTATGCAGGAGGAGGGAAAGACTTATTGCCGTCGCATTGAAGTACATTTTACTACCTATCCTGCTTACAGGACCGAATACGAGCTATTCAATTTGGCTCTGGAACTCACTTCACTGCCCGGTCTCAGGTTGCGTCAAGATTGACTAGGGATGATAGATGAGCCAGAAATTGCCCAAATCACCTCCACTTCCTGCCCAGCCTCGCAACCGTCCATTACGCCATGCCTTTAAGCCATTTGATGTCGAAGCTTCTTCCCTATTCTTATCGCTCACTTTTAGTAACAGGCGCTTTTATCAGTACTCTACCAGGACGGTTACTACAAAGAACAAAACACCTAGGTCCTGTGTAAATACGTGTTTGATGCTTTTCTTCTATCCGAACAATCGGTGTCAAAGAGCAAATATGTAGATTAAAGGACTAGGCCTTCATTTTTCGTGTTGACACTCTGGTGCCCTAGCTCCATGGCGGATTTAGCAAGCGTCAGAGGATGAGGTTCCGGATTGGAGCTCGGACATGCTGGTGCCTGTCTTCAAGAGGGCCGCTCAGACAAAGTTCGTGAACTACTGCCTCATCGGCCTCATCAAAGGTTTTGCGAAAGTCTTTGCTGTTGTCATTCTTATTTGACTTACGAGCAAGTGACTAGGATGTGACCCAGCCCAACCAAGTTTGGCGCTGGGCATGAATGCGTACCAGATACTAATAGTGTAGCGCATCTCTGCATTCTGCCATGGCCTCTAGCAAGCGGCGACCGTTGGGCTTGTTTGCTTTCCCACAGGGTTGTACTCCATGCATCGTAAGCTCCTGTAGCGGATAATGAAACCAGTTAGTATGCTGGCACAAGTCACCACCATGATCAGGTCTTACTGTTGGGTTCCCAAGGTTTCGGTATGCGTCGGATGACCTACGGACTTAAGTCTCACTAGAGAATAAGGTCTCTAAGTCCTTCAGTTTATTCACAAACCCTGAAAAGATGAAATTGTCGCGCAGCATCCTTAACCTGGAGGCGGCACCCCTCGACGTTAACGACTGTCAGCTCAGAGTGGGTAATTTAAACTACCTCCGTTTGAAGCTACTATCTAATGGACGGAGTATAGATGACGCCTTCTCCCCAATGGATGCTACCCGCAAGGTTTTTACAGCCCTTAGAATTCGTGATGCCTCCATCGCCACAAAGATTCCCTTGTACCAGGCGTCCGTCCTGTCATTCCTATAGGCTTCTGAATGCCGAACGTCCGCATGGACGACCAGTCCAACTTTAAGCAAATATTTGGCTTTTAAATGCTCCTCGACTGTTTTTTTTTAAGAGTAGCTCTACGGTCTAAATACATTGGAATGATAAAGATTTGGAAGACGGTTGATCTGCAACAGAAGAATTTACCTAATTAGCCCCTGGGGAGATTAAAAAACTGGAATTCAAAATCTGAAGTTTATCCCGGAAAGCACATGGTGAGCGTTGGGGGACGCACTGATGATCCGAACACCTCGCACTCGCGTCACACAACGGCAGAAAATCAGCGAAACACCTGTCTAGTCTCTTAACAGGTACCTTTGCCGCCAGTTTTCTGACCTCTAAAACATCAGTTCATTTTTCTCCTGCATCAAAACAGGACTCAAGCCGACCGCCATGATCTGCCAAGGATGGTTTTTATCAACAAAATGGACAGACCGGCGGCAGACTTTGAGGGTAGCCTGAAGTCTCTGCAGCGCAAGCTGGGTCAAAAACGAACCTTTCTTCCTCTTCATCTGCCCATCTTCACCTCCTCCTCTCCCGATCATAAACACAAACAGTCCTCGGAACGTCATTTCGTCGGTCTGGTGGATCTACCACACCTCGATCTTAAAGTAAGCCCTTCAAACTATGAAATTTAAAAAAACACATACGTAATAAAAATGATCATATTAGAACTACCATATTAAAACAACCAACCAGCATTGTAGCCACCGATTAACTCGCCCAAGCTTTCGGTCTTACTCGGTAGTTCATCTTTGGAGGCAGTGAACAATATTTGCACTGCTTCACTTTCTGTCGACCGCGTACATCCGTGTCTAGAAGCGGAATCGCACCGTCCACCAGTCAGATGACAAGGGAGACTCATCGGTATCCGGCATACGACATCGTGGTCTGAAATTCAGTCCCCAAATGAACTGTGTTGTGGCGTCAGACCTAAAACGACTAACAATTCCATTATCGCAGTAAGGTGGGCTCTAGTTAGACCTGGAACCCGATGGCTCCTTCTGAAAATGGCTACTTAAACTGTGTCCCTAATAGAGCCCGTTTTCTCAGAAATATTTTTTTCCCGAACGTCAATAATAAAACAGAGGACATTAGCAAGGAAATGGTTATAGAGATTGAAGTTAGCAGACATCATTTCTGGTAACCATTCCTTTAGCCAACTGTACGTCATGCATTCCGGAATTCGAAGCACTTCGACCGCGGTATGGATTTCAAACAAGCAAAAGTAGCAGGATATATTGGTAACCAAAAAACCGCTCCATAGGACGGCGAACGGGTATTTGATGCACAGCAGGTTTGATTTCTTCATAAAACAGTAAGATCACAAATGGGTGTGCGAATCAAAGCACAAGGGATTGACAGGACAGGACGAGACTTACTAAATTGTCAAATTGTTTGCACAGGGCAGTTTCCTCCTTCCATATGCGAAGTACGAGCTTCTTGGGGCACGAACACGGAGTCGAAAGGCCCTTTTGGTGACCCTTATCAGAAGCATAGCATTTTTATTCGGCAAGGTTTGGCTGAACAGTCAGTTCCGAAAAGTCCCTTGCAGTATACTTTCTCATTTGGGATGACAGTACTTCAAACATGATTAAGCGATGACTGCGATGCGCCACAGAAAAGAGCTACAGTGCAGCAGAGCATATATTTAGTAGTTCCAAGAATAGTTTCAGTTTATTGAGGGAAAGATAGGCGAACGTCTTTGAACTCCCTCTTGGTTACAAGTCGTCGGAGAAAAACATTGGTGAGTAGGAAGGTGAAAAAGGGATTTTGTACATAATCGCGGACAGCTGACAGCTAGTCGAAAAAGAGTACTCATTAACGCCTACTTACTAATTACAAGTGGCATAAGCACACATAAGTTGGTGCCGGGTTATATGAGTGGATGAGGCTGTTAATTGGGAAGCTTCATACGCGTCAAGCCTATACTTAAAGGAATTCACACAGGAGGAGATTGCAACATCGGTAGGCAGGGCATTCCACGCTGCAACCACTCTGTCACTGAAAAAGAACCTTCGCCCGCTGATCCTTGCTTTCCCTGCGCGGAGTTTTAGGGGATGACCGCGCCGAGTGAGCGTGTTAGCTTGAGTGAAATAATCAGTGGAATCTGAGCAACAATCTAGGTCGTTGATAATGCGAAATGTTAGTATAAGGTCACCACGTAATTGCCTGTAAGAAAGGGGAAACAGGTTGAGAGTTGACGGTCAGGTTTCATAGGGCAGTGCTCCCAGACCTTATGTCATTTTGGTTGCCCGTCTCTGGACTTTCTCCAAGACGGTATAGTCCTTGGCGGTCTAAGGTCTCCGCGCCTGCACCGCGTATTCCAGATGAGGCCGCATGTAGGTGCCAAATATTTTGTAAAAGCAGTCAGGGTCAAATCGCATAAAGGCTCGCCTAATGGGTTGCAATGTAGCCTTAGCCGATTTAGTCGCCTTCGCGCAGTGCAGTGTTGGTTTGAGTGAAGATGTAATCCAGACTCTCAATTCTTTCTGACTGTCAACCTGTTGCAGTGGTGTGCCATGTAGAAAGCTCTGAAGCTGCCGAGTTGAAGAAAGCTGCACTTGCTTATATTGAATACTATTGCAATTCAATGGACAAGGGATGCCTTGCTACTGCACGGCAATTCAAGCTGAGTTCATGCCCTCATATGTGCATGTCACTGCAAGCACACTGTGATTACAGGGATAACTGGTGAATGGGTTATTTCAGCACTTGCCAGAATGGTTTCCATAGGTGTGAACTCGGGGTTCTCTGCCCGTCTCTCACCGAAAGCCTTCCAATTAGTGTTCACTCTGTAAGCCTAAAAGCCTTCCGGACAATTGCTCCTGCACGGGCAGATCGTACTCCGCACCACTTGCAAGCAGTCCACACTCGAAGGGCGAGACTGGACCTGTGCACAACAACTAAACCACGCGTTTTACCTGTCCTTGTCCTGGTAATCCTGGGTTTTCAGATTTAAACGCCCCCTTGCGATTTACAGGCTCTGTCAAGTGACCGTTTTTGTTCATTCGACTCTGTATTCCGACCTCTGACTGCTGTTTTCATATTGATTTTCCGAGAAAATCCATCACCCCCTATGAATGTTTCGGAGGGACAAGAAACTGTTGGTAAGCCGTCGCGAAATTTTTTGGTACCCATGAGTCCTGCTGTCTATGCTACCTACTATTCTGTCTTCTAGATAAATATTGGTGAAACCAAAGCGATATTGTAGTAGTAAGCAGCGGCCCCGAAGATGCCGGTCTACTGTCAGTTACGTCGTTAAATATGCGGGTTACCCACCTATTTTGAGTGTAACTCACTCCTTTTGGCCTAGGCAATTCACATTCACTTAGTATACGTGAGTATCAAGTAGGAATGGAGGTATTTCCTCATTTGGAAGTGCTCACTTCAAAAGCAGACTGTGTAGGCATTTGTGGTTCAAAGCTAGGTCGTTTTGCTCCAAAGGTCCGGAGCACTTGGGAGGTTCATTTCCCTATAGTCTTCAGAAAGTTACAGTGTTCTCTGGGCAGACGGCGCACAAAGTGGCGAGCAAGTTCTGTAACGCGATCGGTGAGCGCTCTTTTACCATTGTCAATATACCCGGTCGCAGCGACAGGATAAAGAGCCTGTGACTCAATGATCAGGGCATTAAACTTCTGGCCATCGGGCCGCGGATTCAAGCCCCGAGGGCTACACACCTCGGGGTTGGGTATGGCTGACTGATGACTTCTAATAAGTCAGAAATGACCGCCCCAATCTCCCTTGTCTTTTTCAGCGATGTTATTCCGCCTATAATGCTAACCACTTAACGACTGTTGACTGGGCTTCAAGGCGCAACGGGCGTGTGCGCCCCCTTACGCTTTCGGCGAGCGTCCCTTTACGATCGACAACACCCATTCCTCTTGTTTTCAGTACTTGCACGGTTATTTTAGGTCATTTTTATTTGCGAGGGATCAAAATTAAACAGATAATTCGGTTTTTGCGTCTTTGAGTTGCATTAATACTTTTTTTCCACACCGCCTAATTCGAGTCTTTCAAAATGCGAGTAAACAACAGTCGCCGGAGAAACGTAATTTTACTTGTTTCAAACAGAGGTTTACTAAGTTGTAGGGATTCAACTCTCATTGCCCACATTATTTTCGAATCAGGGCTACTTTTAAAGCACAGTTTACTACTTTTGAGGTTGCCCTATGTGGTTTATTCAAATCGTCTCTTTTTAGATGTAAATGTAACGCCAGAGTAAAATGGAACCAGAAGTCCAGAACTCCTGGATTCGTGCATCTGGACGACGGTCACATGACAGTCCAACCGTCGTTGCCAACTGTCCCGGCCCGTCGGTCATTCGATGCGGCATAATGACTGACGGAGCTAGGCGGTCCGTCTACATGTACCACACACGTGGACTGCACCCGCGCACACCACATCATGGTTCACACAGAGGGTATGGGTGGTCCGGAGTTTGCATGCGTGAGAGTGCCATAGAGACCCGGTTAGAAAGTGGCCATTGAGCCTGATTCTCAGTCCACCAATCAGCCACTCCACACAAATACACACAGGGATAGCTGCAGGACTTGAGTTGTACCACCAATGGGGACCCCTCGAGCCACGGCTCATAGCTCGTCGTGATGGGTTCAAGTGCGTCAGATTTAGGGATGAGTACGCTGAAGTGCTGTGGGGGTGGATTTGCGGAAGTGCGATGGTTGACAACCGAAGATTCCCAAGCCATAGGTCAGGTTATTACGCCAAGGTAGTAAGGGTTATTCCCTAATTACCCCAGCCAATTTAGCTCAAAGCCAATAGGTGTTTCGGTTTTTGCCGCCTACGTTCTGTTTTTGTCAAATAGGCAGCAGCTAGTCATTGAAATCCGTATATTTGCATGCCTGTAGAAATGAAGATTGGAAGATACTGACTTTTACCTTTCTTTTTACATTGTACTGCTTTTTTGCGGCGGCTAACTGGTACTTGTTTGACTCTGCTTTTATTGTTTTTTGTTATTGCCTACGGTCGTCGCAGATAACACTACTAGCTCATGAAGTGAACGGAAAACAAGTTTGCGTCCAACTAGCTTTAACAAGCTGTTCATCTTGATGAGAGCGCGCTTATAATGACAATGACTTCAAGAATAATCTTTTAGCTGGTTTAAATTTCAACGCTTTTACTTCGGGTCGCTGATATGGACTCTTCTGACTCAATCTGTTGCAGATAGTTGGATTGACCGTCGAAGAGCCACTGTCCAGTTACTTTTTGCAATTAAAATGCTACATTCTGACTGGCTTTCATGGAAAGGGCAAATAACCTCTTACCAGGATTGAAAAGCCTATTTTATTTCGCCCTCCGTTAAGGTCTGGAACAGGGACGTCAACAAGGACGAATACCAATTTTCTACAGTCAGTCTGTTGGCCAAGCCTGCTATTCAGGAATTTTCCGCTGGTTTTCCCGGCAACCTGCACATGAAAAATATCGTGGCTTCTGCCCTGAAAGCCCGTGAACATCTCATTTCTATGCTGGCGGAATTAGATGAGGAATTCGCCGAAGAATACCTCTCACTGGACCATCCCGAACTCCTCACCCCTGAAACTATCAACAGGAGCATCCGACGGGTATGATTACCATTCTTCCGACCGCCGAATTTTCACTGCTCACCTCGAAATTTCGTTACCTCGTTACTTGTGTCTTCGTGTCTTAGTAGGCGACCATCGCTTCATCGGGCATTCCCGTCCTCGTAGGCAGCAGCAAGCAGAATATCGGGGTGCAGCTAATAATGGACGCCCTTGTCCAATACTTACCAGACCCATCCCAGCGCTCCCCACCACCTATAATCGCACACTACCTCAAGCGCCTTCACGGCCTCTCGGCCTCTGCGTCCAAACTCCGTCCTGCTACTACGCTCAACTCACTCCCCATGCTTCTGGTCTTCAAGATCCTCTTTGATCCCCACTGGGGTGCGCTAACTTTGACGCGAGTTTACTCGGGCAATGTAACCGCCGGCGCGCACATCTCTAACTGGACGCGGCAAGATGAGCAGACTCAGACGAACGAAAGTGTACGTTGTGAAGGCATGCGGTAGCTTATCAACAGCCTCGACTACTAACAAGGTTTTAGTAAGTGTTTTATTTCGCCTGCAGATTGGTCGCGTTCTACAACTCAACGGCGATTCTTACAAGGCACTGCGCTCGGCTGGGCCGGGCTGTATTGTAGCGCTGACAGGCCTACAGTCAACACGCACTGGCGACGTGCTGGGACCCCCGGGGCATATGTCCCGAGTTACAGAGCCTGCAAAAACAGTAGCAGATGCCCAGGCCATCGATCCAGCTACCGATCATCTAGACCCTGCGTTTGAGCAAGAATTTGGAGTTCACGTGCCCGAACCGGTAGTTCACGCCGCCCTAGAGCCGCGCAGTGTTTCAGCGATCCGCGGACTAGAACGTGCGCTTTCTCGTACACAACGCGAGGACCCGAGCTTTACGGTTAGTCTTAGCTGCTTTGCTTTCTTATTATTTGTCTGTACCTTTTTGGCATGCCAGCGCACTCTTAAATCTCATTCTTCGGTCAGCCTTTGCTGGCAACAAGCTCGTATTTTTACCTCCTTAAATCGGCGTCCGTATGCAACTCGCAGTCAGTAACTGTGCCCGTCATTCTTCTTATTTCAGTAAATAGCATTGTATCATAAATTTGCCTTTATAAATGGGGAAACGGGTATTTCCATAACTTCGGTGTATTTAAGCTCTCAAGAAAAGCTAGTCGCCTCCGTCTCAGGGGTTTTGCCTGTTTACAGGGTTGAATGTGTTATGTCGCGCACGATGGCCCCTTTCAGTCAGCCCTCAGTTGCCTTAAAAAGACGCGGCCGACCTGTTGACTTGGCTGCGAGCTACCAGACTTTCCCAGTGGTGACGGGCTCTCTGTCTAACCAGTGGGCACCCGCAGACCGTTTAGGGGTACTGCCTTCAGAAGTATGACTGGGCACTCAGTCTCTTGCCCAGAAAAAGATGACGATCTGCAGCTTTATCCCATCATCGTGACCATTGCCGTCATCAAATAAGGTTTCACTCGCCGTGCGGTGTACTCTTGGAACGTTAAAATGGTGTAACGGAGGAGTGGGAGCAGGCATCCGCCTTCGTATCAGCAAAAAAGCTTGAAACGATCCCTTCACTCAGCCGCCCCACGCGACTCCTGTCAGGAAAGTCACAGCTGAACTGAGTTTTTGCAAGACTGCAGTGGCTGTGGTCTGGGCACAGTTGTTGCCTTTTCCTGGGGTCACTGTTGCCAAGAGAAACAAAGCAAAAACAGTATGAAAAGGGACCATTTTACCTGATTGCTAACTTGCGTTGCCGAAATTCCTATCTGTACGTAATTTGCAGGCAATGTGGCCTTCGAAACGAAGCCGAATTTCCACTCCCCCGACCTTATCCTTTATTTTGTATTCGATTTATGAGAGTTACATTTGCGTCTATCAGATGACCTCCTTTTAGAACGATTCGCGGCTCTGTTTCGTGTTAACGGCATCCCATTGAAACTGTAGCCTTGCGCTTTTCCACCGGAATAGTTGCTATCGTTTTTCTCCATCGATCTCATTTGTAATGTGCGGCTAACCTTTGATTTACACGTCCACTAGTGAAGTTGGTAGTTTTGTGTGGGATTTTATAGCGGGAGAGTGCTAAAACTAGCTGACAGGACCGAATTACATGCCCATCAATTAGAAATCGCCACAATGGATTACAGATCATTACCTCCGCCACTACTGTTCCGGTGGGTTCTAGTTTTTGGAATACTTCGCATTTACACCGCGTATACTACTCATCTGGTTACAGTATTTTTTGAGCAGTCGCGTTTCTGCTTCCTGTTGGGAATCGTTGGCAGCAACACATTTCGAAATCTCTTCGTTTAAATGGCCATTATTCCTTCCGCTTACTTTTCCCCGTTTTCTACATTGAAGGCCTACGCCCCCATCCTTCCAAGCAGGCCTTTTAACAGTTTCAAATCGGCTGTTAGTTTTTTTGACTTATTAAATCGGAACTTTTGCGTGCCTCCCTTGTTTAGAATGCCTACCAGCAGAGGACTCAGTAGCACGTGTGTGTTCAGGGGAAGAAGAGTAAACGCTGCTCATACTCTACTGGACGAGAGCTTGTTTTGGATAAACGTGTGTGTCAATAGGAGTAGTAATGATCGTACTTATTCTAACACCAACCTATGTGCATTATCAATGAAAAAACGAGGTGGGGGAGTCACTCTCAATGCATTTATTTCAGGCAAAGGTAGGGGTTATGGTAACGCCATTCAGAGTGTGATTGGCCGTTCAAGAAATGGCCAATGTCAGGACTTAATGGTTTTTTGCATAACCCTCCATTCGGATGGACCGAATGGTTCAGAGACAACAACAGCCGAATATTCTGTTTGACTTTTCACGTATTTGCTACTAAACTGGTCAGCGCAATCTATCTCTAGGGGAAATTGATTTTGCCTGAAGGAAGTTTTCGTGGCCATCCTTCCAACTAATGACCTACCTCCGTCTAAATGGTCGTAGTCACTACTAGAAAGGCGAGAGTAGTGGTTCACGAGGAACTGAGTACTCGTCGTTCTGTCTGCTTTATCTAGGATTTACATGGAGCTAACCTAATACTTTTGTTGCTCACCATCTGTTGCGGTTATTGACGATGCGATTATGTATGTTATTCGGCTTTCAGACTCAGTTGGTGTAACGTCGAGTGGAATGTCATGGAACTGACTTATGCGCTGAGTCTAGGTGATGAAATGTTAGAGCTAATATGAATAGGGGATTTCATCTAGTCGAGAGGTATTTCCGAATGATAATTTCCGGTTGATCTACTGTTTTATACCAGTTGTAGGAAGATTAGCAGCAAACCGTGTAGAAGAGGGTTTTGGGATAAATGTATTGTCATCTACCAGAGGCTTCTCGCATAGCACTATTTCGATACTGACATCTCGCATCATTTCGCACACTACATACTTTTGAAATAAAAACCAGACTCCAATTATTACCTTCGCCCTGTTAACGACGTGTCTCAGACCACTTCAATATCTCGGAGATCTGCCTGATATGAAGACCAGAAAATTCCGACCTCTTCCAAATCAGTCGAGTTTTGCTGATGCCCCCTCAGTAATGTGTACGCCGATGCGTTCAACAATGCTCCTTCGAAGCAGGGCTTGATTCAACGGTTGTGGCATGCGTAGAGTCGACGTGCCTTCGACGGCCAGGGGACGACCAGACGCGCACTTCTTAGGAAAGTGTTCTGTCCGTTCCTGGCACCATATTTAGTGGGAGTGCCCCTGCTGCATGTAACTGATTCCTTTTTCTCAGTCGAAAATAATTAGCAAACCGACATTCATTGATTTCACCCCACTGACACCTTCGCACATGCGTATAGACGGAGGCATACTTTGACAACCAGTTAACTATGACAATCTTTTTGCCATTACTGACTGTCTACAACAATCATTTTTTCGGAGCTGTATACTGGCCTCCATCGAAGGGAACCACATGCGCTGTCTCCCTTTACCGGATAACTCTATCCACACACTTTGACGAACATATTTGTTGGGTGGATGTATGTGCTGGAAATTGAGGGTTGCCTGCCCACTCGATTATCCGGTGTTTATTCCGGCCAAGCAGGTTAATTAGTAGCTGTTATCAGACCAGAAGCAAAAATTAAACTTAGACAGTCAGAAAACATCCGTTGGTCGGACAAATTCTAGCCACTGATCTCCCCCTTTTTTGCCTTAGGGCGTACCTCCGAGTGTGTTACCATGCCTGCACTTGTTAACTGCGCGAAACCAATCATCAAACTCTGTTGCTGATGCGTTAGGCAAGTATGTTGCATTCTGAGATGACGATTCCGCTGCAGTATTTGCCAGGCAAGCAGTGACAAGTATATCATGCATGTCTCAGAAGGGTTGGTCTAGTCTGTAATTTTGCTAGTCAAGCTACACTGTATGATACTTTTTTCGTTGTGAAAGTTTGCTTCTGACCCATGGGCTGCCGTGGAACGTAACTTGACGGTTACACTTACGGACTACATGATGACATTATATTGAAAATTTTTCTAAAGTATGCTTGGCGACTGCCTAACACCACAAAATGACTGCGCAAAAAAGTGAACCAGATAAAGAGGGTATTTATTTGGAAAAAGTGTGCCTTAATGCCAAACGTCTAAACTGGATTCCTGTATCTCATCCTTGATGCTACGGCGGACAAGCTCTTGAAATAAATTCGCCTGTCAACAACTTGTCGAACATGACGCTGGAGATATGGGGACAAGAAGTGGAACGTTTGCATTCCCTAGCCCACATTGTTGCAGCATTCGGGACTGTCGAACTTACTGACCGACAGCCTTTATTTTTCTACACAAAGTTACAGGACGTGAGATATATCTGTATAAAAGTAATCTAAGTGTCAATTATGCCAATTTGACCTCTAGAATGTTCAGGACATATATAAATCAGACCGGTTGAACGATAGATCACATTTTATGCCTAATATCATGAGAAGATAGCTGCAACGCATAAGTGAAAGACAAAATTAACCGGCAACAACCGGCTGAAGGCCCCCAAACACACACGACCAGCCAAAGGTGTCTGTATTACTGGGAAGGTGGTAATAGGGGTTTTACGGGCGGGCCCTATGTTTGCATAGAGGAATGGCAGAATAAGTATAGATAATTTGTAAATTTGTTTTTCGGGTAGAAAGGTTTTAATGAATTGACATATAGCAACCGAAATTAAGTAGGACAGTAAAAAAATACACATTAAATGTCTACAACGATCACGTCTCAACTCTTTGACTCGAGTTCCTTGTAGATAATACGTAAGACCATCTACAACAGATGATCCAACCTTCTACGATGAGACGCCAAACCGAAATAATCATGTCGGACCTAAGTCCACTTAAATAAATGTAGTAGGTATTCTTTGTATGCCGCAGATGCTTGGGGGCCTTCACCCGATCTTTACCAATTTACCTATTAATGCAAAAGAACCTATCAGTTTTGCCTGATTAATACATTTGACGTGAAACGTTTTTCTTAAATGAGATTTTTGGCAGTGATTAGCATCCACAATTACACATCAGGATGGTAGCCTTTGGCTAAATATATTTCTAGTCCTCCACGTAACTTATTTCCAGAATGAGCTTACTCCACGGTGTTTATTCGCTGTTCCTCATTGTCCACTTATCACTCACCATTGTCACCCTCGGCAATACTACGGCTCGAGGACTAGCGATGAGCTAGTGGGCAGTGGTTAACCCGCAGGGAGCCTGCGTCAATGCGTGCAACCACTGACCACAAGAGACCACGCGCACTTTCACCGGTCGGCGGTACAGTGCGGCCACTCATCGGACTTGTAATGCCGGTGCGGTGAGCACATCTTCTTTGATTAGTAGGCGAGAGCCGAATGCCTGATTGAGTCACAGCGGAATGATCATCTCATAAAAAGAGGCACTTAATGCGCCTTCCTGGGTGCCCCACAGATCCCTTTTCTGAATAACTGCATTAATAACTTTCGACAGGCTGCTCCAGTGTCTGAAATGCCTCAAGTCCGGAATTCGCGGTGATGTGGATCAACAGTGCGTATGACTTTTGAAGGTTAGGTCATATGTTTAACAATCTTCCACGCCCAATTCCGTTTTCAGTCATTTTGAGTAGATTTTATAGCGGTAGAGAACTCTAAGATGAGCAAGGGGTCGAATGATGCTCCGCAATTCTATGTGAAGATAATCATACTCGAATGTAAGAAGTCATTACCAACGGGCAGACTTCAGTCGGGAATGAAGACGGCGCGGCTACCTCGTGTCGCAGCCAGTAATTCAACATGCTTCATCCGCCTGCCCGCTCTTGTTCAAGTGGAAAACACGTCGCTTCGCATTTTTGATTAAGGTTTAAGATATAGATGTTTGTTTCCTGTGCTGCTTTCTCCCTTGTTGTCACTTCACCATTTTTTTGTAAATGTGATTTTTAGAGGATTGATAAAATAGCGGAAACGCACGCGGCATATGTTCGATTCATACCTACCCCGTCCCGCAGTGCGCAACCTGCTTGGCGCGTACCGTAATCCCATCTCACCCCGTTTTGGTTCAACCCATCCGCAGCACCTACTCTGGAGTACAACAACGAATTTAAGAATTCAAATGCCGTTTGCAGAAGGAAATGTGAACCCGTGGCCGTGCTGGGGCGTTTTCACTAAATTATGCATTTGACAACCTCTAAAGGCAGATATGTTGGAGACAATTAACATCTGCAAACTAATGTTTTCAGAAAATATCTTGTGGCTAATCCATTTCTGACTTACAGTGAGTGACCGATCTCATGAAGTGTTGGCTGAAATCTGAAATGCGTTTTCAATTAGGAAGGATTACTTGGACGCGTTGTAATACTCATTATCCTGCGGCATAATCCTATCCTATTTCGGACTCAGCAGAATGTTGGCTTTTGAATACACTGCTTTTCAATCCCCCGCAGAAACCGTTCTCGGTAAAAAGTGACTACATAAGTAGCATGCATTTTTCCCACTGATTTTTGATAATCTTGCAAATTCAAGTATATTTTAGAGAAACCTCAAGCAAAAAATGCTTTCTTTCAGTCGGTTGATAGAGAATCACGTCTCCTTGATAATTTATACTCAAGGAAGGAGTATAATTAGGTTTTCAATAAGTTTAACTACGAGATTTTTTAAGACCGCGCAACGTCCATTCATATAGCATCGTACCTATCCGTTTAGCACAGCTCTTCGTGAAATGTACAACATAGTCTGTGTCCATCGTAAAAAATTAATGTACTCTGTATGATATCTTTTTAAAGGCATAGAAAAATATGTGATTTTCTTTACGCGGGACGCATGCAATTTGTGGACTGAAATCACTAAGCGCTAATGCAATGAATAATCATACTGTAAATTATTCGGCAATTAAAAAACTTTGTTAAAACCTAAATATACTTCTTCCTTGAGTATAAAATATCTAGAAGACGGGATTCACTATCAAACGACTGAAAGAAAGCATATTTTTGTTCGTGGTTTCTCTAAAATATATTTGAATTTGCAAGACCATCTAAAATTAGTGGGAAGATGCATGCTTCTTAAGTAGTCACTTGTTACTGAGTACGGTTTCTACAGGAGATTGAAAAGCAGCTGACAGCTGTGTCCAAAATACTATAGGATTATGTCGCAGGATAATTATTACAACCACGCCCAGGTAATCCTTCCTAATTTAGAAGCATTTCAGAATTCCAGCCAACATTCCATGAGATCGGTCAGTGACTGTATATTTGTCGGTTCATTATTCACTGAAGGGTTTTACGCTGAGTTGCAAAGTTTTGATGGAATCCTGTAACACCGGATATGTTCGAATTTTGTGTGTGTGAGAACCCAGCATGCCGGAAAGTTTTTGTGTAGTGTTAACTTCCACAGCATTTAAACCTACTGGACTAGCGCCTATTGGGTAATTTAACCGCAAAAGGCTAACTCGCTCTTATAAGAGGGAAAACCCACACGCCCGCACCTCCACGCCTTTCCTTGTGTCAAGACATATTTCCGGACGGCGTTGAACTTCCCCGTCGTTTCGATTAGCTTGTGAGGCTTTTGTGTTTTGCTAATTATTATGCGCGCCAGTATCGAGTTGAGCGACAACTCGCAAGAGCTTTTAAATTAAGCAAAGCACTCTCAGAAGCCAACAATTATCGTCTTCCCCATCGCATTGCCCACGAGCTGGTCGCAGTACGCTTATTCGCTTTTAAGTTTATTTCACTCCCTTGATGTCCGTTCGAGACGAGTTGCTAGGCGCCGTCGGGGAGACATGGACGAAACAGGATACGGACTAGGACCCCCGGGTGAGGAAGCCAACTTCCTACCGGTTCATCTCATGGATATTTTCGTTCAGCTTTTCGTCATTACGCGAAGCAGAGGAAGTTGAATTGTGCATAATGAACTACATGACACCTCATATCAGCACCCGGTAGACTCTCAAAGTGCCATACTCTAGAAGTGAAATATTTCCAAGTTGGAGAAAGCCCGATTCCCGGTAAAAAGACTCTGGCGTATTTCCGGAAATAAGGTTGAATTCTAGGATTGCTGGAACATTCATTCGAAAATGCACACAGTAGACTGCAATGAGGCTAACAGCAGAAGTCAGCGTGTTACGCATGTATTTATCGTCTTTGGACCATGTTTCCGCCAATCACCTTTTAATGCTTATCAATTCAATATGAAAACACCTTGAGGAACTGTTGCCTTGACTTTCGAGCATGTCATTGCCAGTAGGAAAGGCCTTCCAGTTGTTTTTACCATTTATGTGGCTACTGACCGAGATTTCAGTTCGCTTTTGGGGTTGAACGATTGTTGTTCTGGGTTGACTGAGTGCGCCAACCGCACTAGTTGCGTCCTCCACTACGCGCTGCCGCATGAGTACACGTAAGCGCCACCTGGACGTCATATAACTAAGCTCGAGAGAGTGATTTGGTACGGCACCCGATCGCAATTGTCCACGTCTGAGTAAATAACTTCGGCGCCGACGTGGCCACATGCTCCGAGTGATTGAAACACTCGGCTGTTCGGGGAACCAGCGGTAGGACGTGTTTTTCCGTCGTTGACACGCACAGCCCTACCTGGACTGCATTTCCTCCCTTCCTTACATAATGACCTATCAGAGGGGAGACGACAGAGTCTGGGGGGTAGATTGATACAACACTATTTTGGGCTCATTTTGCCTTCCTTCAGCCAATCATAAGCCTGACCAGCAGCTGGGACCAGAAACATAAACATGCACACAGACACACCTGGCGCAGCTGGTCCACCACTGGGGTCTACCAGATGGGTCATGAGCACTTTCTCGAAACAAAATTCATCAGTGCCTCTCCACCTCCCAGTCGGTCGCTGCAGATCAGGTATCTATTCACTCAGGAAGGGGCGCACACCGATCCATTGGCTTCCCGAAGCTAACAAGCCTCGTATGGGCGAAAAAGGGGTCACGAACAGGCAACCACCTACCAGGCTGGTGGTCAGGATTATGATTGGCTGAATGAGGGCAAACAAGCGCGAAACAGAGCTGTGTCAATCTACCCCCCCTCCCCCCCGACTCTGTCGTCTCCCCTCTGCTATAATAGCTTGGTCAACTTCGGCCGGGTAGGTGGTTGCCTGTTCGTGACCCCTATATCGCCCATACTAAGCTTGTTTGCTTCGGGAAGCCAATGGATCGGTGTGCGCCCATTCCTGAGTAAATAATGACATATGTCCAAAGGAGTTTCTATACAGCCCACACTAGACAGAAAACATCACGCCTTGAGAGCCAATCTTTACGAAAGTGACTTCCAGTCAGTCAACAGCTTTCGTAGTCACACGACCCTCGAGACCTTGTAATGTTTTCGCTGCACGGATGTTAGGAAAGGGGCTCTTCGCTGACCTCATTCTCTTCTCCTTATCATGCTCCGGTAGGAAGACTGAGTTCGGACGACTGGAGACGAGACTGAACCCCGTACCTGAACAACCACTTTGACTCCGTCTTCCGCCTATAGCCCATTCATGCTACCTTTAATTCACACGCAAATCACCCATTGTTCTTCTATCACAGATTATCGTCCAATGCGTTACGACGACTCACGGGTCCACCAAAGAAACATATAATAATGTAAGGCCTCTGCGAGGCTTCTTTATCCAAATGTCGATTTCAGTAGGCAAACACCGTGTTTGACAGTGGGCGCAGCAGTGTCATGATTGGGTAGACCCAGTGGCAATATTTCAACGGCCCAGGTGCGTGTTGGTACACATATGTATGCCTGGTAGATTCCTGCGCCCGATAGCCATCAACCCGGAAATGACAAACCTCGCCCGTTTACCCGTGCTTTTTTTGCCGTACTTCATGCCCTCACAGCACTTTAATCAGCCTGTCCTGTCGTACTTTGGGCGCCCATTCAACTTTCAACTCCCTCTCTGACTTCCCCAAAATGTATGCCTTTGCGCACTGGTCTAACCTAAAAGCCCTCATTCTCGCTCTCGAAAATAAGGGCAACACTAACTCCGCGTTTCCTTTGCTCGACCATCATCTGCCTCTGAGGCTGTTTTTCGTAAGCTGGCTTGATTACAATTTTGTCCTGGTGTGGCCAGGAAAGTAAAGCGAGTGTGCGGGTATGCAATCCACAAAGGTATTTTTCAGGCAATCAGGGACGTTGTCAAATCCCTGCGCCTACTGATGCGGGCCCATTCTGAGGACACTTTCAGCTCCTTTTTTTCGTTACGGGTCGTTCTTATTTGTGCTGTTTTTTTTTCTGTCGGTAGAATTTTCTTGCTTCTGATAGGCACGGGGCTACCGATTATCTCTCGCCCACTCCATTTGTATGTTACACCGGCGTCAGACTTGACTTCTGTGTAATACGCCATGCACGTCTAACCACTTTAGCAGAATTAGATGGGTCGGTTTGCTTTTCTACCTAGACCAACGACCGCGTTTCACCTTCCCTAATCGCAAACGAGGCTCCTCCGTCACATGCATACTTTACCGATTCCGTTAGACAAGTTTCACATCACCGTGAAGTGTTCGAATTTATGGAAAATCGAGAGCTCTGCCCTCGAAGCTTCCCAGACAAAGGCCTAAAGCCTTTCTGTTTGAGCGGAATTGTCAATTCCTTGCAGTCTTCCGACTAGTCATGCCGCCTTCCCTGCCTTTGACTCCACCTAGCATGGGTGCAAGGCAGCAACCGTTGGGAAGGACTTTGTCGTACGTACTTGACAGAAAATATGCCCTCCTAAGCGCTGGTTTTTTCGAGGGTAGTTCAAAACGTTTGGACAGAATTAAAAGATATTGGCCCGGTACTCGTAACAGTTGTAAACCGATGAGGATTACGGCATATAATTTAGTTCTTTACTACCCTTTTAATGTAATTTCTCCGCTGTTCGACATGCGTATACACACTTTCTCTTCCCCTTCCCTCACTGTAATTGGCTGTTCGACTTTTCGGATGAAGAGGTCTGGGCCTCTGAATTAAGTAGTAAGCACGGAGCTACAGTTCTGAGCCGCATGTACTTTCTTCGCCCGAAGTGGTAATTCCCCTCTGACCCCCTACCTGAGGCCCAGTTCTTGCGTGCGGTTCCATTAAACTGTGCTGAGCACAGCCGTCGCACCGCGACTACTGCTGGCGAACTAAGCCGGACGAGGTGTTGCCAGAGGGTCGATAAAAGCGTGTGATATCTGTCTCGATTATAAGAGATAAGAAGCCGTGTCGCAATGCCAGTCGGCATGCTAATTTAGGCCTGTTCGACCACTGCGCCCAGGATCACTTCAAGTCATTTCGCGAAGGAAACACGTACGATGTGGGAGGCGAGTTTGTGTGCGTGGGAAGCTGTTGTTGAGACAGCATTCCACACTATAAACGAATTTACGTGCAAGGGGGAGAAGGTAGTGGTGGTCATTGTCTTACTCGGTGGGGGAACTGCCTGGGTGGAGCGGTCCGAAATGAAGTTGCTGGCACCAAAATGCTGGAGGCTATCTTACACGAAACTGATTTTTCTCCATTATCTTCCGCCTCGAGACCACCTTTCCACCGCCAATCATATCTGCTGTTAGCCACTTTCTACCATACAAATTATTTTTCCCTGGAAATACCTCTGAGCTGTTCGTGGCTGTGCAAGCACTCACACTAAGCCCTCCTATCCTTATCCCGGGGGCTATGCTCGTCGCACCCCGGAGGGGGGAGGGCGGGCGGGCGGGCGAGCGGAGCTTTCCTTTTCTGAGAACAACAAAAAATCTTATTGGGAAGTTCTCTATGCGGCTGCTTTGGAGTCAATGTCTCCTCACCTCTTTTATTGTTTGCGTCAGATTGTTGGCGGAATTTGAAAATGACATTGTGCCTGGTAGGTGGGCTACCTGATTTCTGTCCCAAGCATTATAAATTTTCGGGTCAGTGAGACACTTCGGAAAATAAAAAAACAGGGAGTAAAAACTTACGACTTAAGGACCGAGCACTGGAAAGTCCTCTTTTTGATTCTAAACTCCTTATTATGTATGTCACGTGGTCCACAATCGTTGCATCATTTATGAGCCCCATATGCTGTATGCTAAATGACATAAATGAATGCATGTTTTCTCTTACACGGAACGTATACAGCTGGAAGACTGAAGACTGTAAACGAAAATACAAAAGGCAGGTCAGGTTCAAAATTAGTCGGGAACTAAAAACCTTTTAAAACTGAAAAATGCCTTTTCTCGGAGAACAAACTTTGAAGAAGACAGTATTTTCTACCGAATCAGTACAAGAAATGACATTTTTACATGGGTTTTCTGCAAAATCTTTGCGAATTTACAAGGGTCAAGAATACCGATAGAAAAAATTCATACTACTTAATTGGTTATTTTTTGTAGACCGCGTTTATTAAGGTAGCCCAAAAGGAGTGCATTCAAAAGCCCACATCATGACGTTCCTGAAATATTGCAAGAACACGCCACAAGATAATCAGTGTTTAGGGTAAAGTCATACCATACTAACAGCACAGGTACTAACCAAAAGCACATACACGCGTGTTTGCCGATGTTTTGCCGCTGCATGGTGCACTGCGAGGGGTTCGGCTCGTCAGTGGGTCCCCCAGCATTGCCCGTTTGTTTTATGGTAGATACCCCAATTCAGAAATTGTCGCTTTTTAATTTCCTCAGAAATTATCTACGAAGTTGGCGTAGATCAGTTTATTCAAGGTCTATAGGCACCGACCGAGAATTTTAAACATGAATATTTGGGCCAAAGTCCATTAGCCACAGCGGGTAACCGCGTAATATTCATTAACTGCCGACAGGCAGCTAGTAGTATACAGCCCCACCTAAGTAATCCTTCCTAATTAAAAACGAATTTCGGTCAGCACTTCATGAGGTCGGTATGCTTGTTAACTAAATTTATCTGTACAGAGTTACGACGCAGAAAGGGGTGGGCCTTGGTACATTGGATAATTAAAAACGACAGTCTTCTAAATCCTGCTCTATGAACAAGCTTCTCGTAGTGCCTTGACACCAAGAATTCAGGAAGACTCGACCTGGCCGTTGACCACTCACACTTTGACAAGTGGCAATCAGTGAAACGGTCTTTAGCGAAGACCGGCTTGTGGAGAAAGCAGGCCTTCGGGTTTGACCCATTCACAGTCTCAAACCATGCAGCGTTTATACTTTCAGACATGATTAGGCACTGGTGTGGGAAATCAGTGACCCCTGAGAAGGTCGCAAGCCACACCAGTATTACGGAACTGTAAATGTTGTTCGTTTTCCATTATGACTGGGAGTAATCTCCGAGACCTAAAACTGGCATGGCGGAGGAGTGGATGTAAACGTCCGCCTTCAATCTTGAAAAAAGAGCATTCCTCCGTCAAGCCGATCCACACAGTCACTCTGAGATAAGTCACAAATCAGCCGGGTTTTACGACAACCGGAAGGCCCTGCTCTACGCGCTGCGATTGATGTTGCGCAGGACCAATGATGCCGAGAGGAGCAGTACCATGCCCACCAATAACTCCATCGTACACGTAGACTGCCACACACACACACACACTGGTGGTTTCCTGTCAGGCAAAAGCAACACTGAGCACTGAGCAGAGGAAACAACTTTCCGTCCTCTCGACTGCACGAAGATACCATGGGTGTATATACTTCCATAATACATGTTTGAGAGAAAAATGGGTGGATAGAACCCCGTTCTAAACCGTTTGTGAATGAAATTGCGGTTCGAACAATCCAGTCAAACATTAAACCACGAGGGAAAGGCGAAAGTGCAAAGGGCTTCGAATATACGGTTACTGAAAAAAGATTACCATGGACAGTGCCTTGTTTTTAGCCTGCAACATGGTAGCTGCTCTGCAGTGGCTTCTCAGTGGCAAACCTCAAAGCACCTACGCCATTGCTGCCAGGTTTTGCAAACGTTCCAAGGTGGCGCTTCAGGGATACGCGGGTTGGTTATCTTTTCAGTCTCAACGGGAGATGGCAGATCATTGGTAGTTATAGAGGAATCTAACTACTGGTGCTATAATTTCAAAATACTGCCACAAGGGAGACCGCCACCAGAAGCCCATAGTGAAATTTCAAGTGCAGGGACTGATTACCAATAATATTTCAGGCATATCAGTTCTTGTAATCGGATCAAGGTTATTGAAATAATACCCACAACTTTGCTCAAGAGAATAATTGCAATACTTGACTGTACAATTAGTCTTTAACACGATGCGCAACTTTTCACAGGATTTGGGGTTACCTTGATTAATAACGCAACTGCCAATTTGTGTAAGCAGACTTGCATAATTTCTGTTATTCTCTCCACCCACAGTTCCTGCCAACTCTGGATGGACAATTACTAAGATGAACGATCGGGCAGAAAATTATGGATGTTGCTTCAAAGACAAGCTATTAACACAGCTGTACATGTAGGCTCTCTCTGTGCGCAAAGTTGTGCTTTCGACATCTGGTCTGTGACGTTGAAAAGTTGGACTGTCAGCTGTCAGTTTGGAAGGAATTCCAAATACTTCAAGTTAAAGAACCTGAGGGAAAAATTGTCAGAGGAGATCTCTGAAAGTCAATTCTTTACGATCGTCGAACAGACTTGTTTTCCAAGTGAGCACATAGTGCCGGGTATCACTGCAGTTGAGGATATACTATACTAGGTTTCACTGAAAACGTAACTTGGTCGCCTTTGAATAGTTTTTCTGCCCCTTTTAATTTCGTCGGAGATTAATGTGTGAACTTGAAGTGAATCCCTCGGAACAAAACTTCTTAGGCTTGCTCCGAAATCTGATATGAATATTTCTGCCGCAATCCATCCGTTACTGTGGAGTAGCTGCGCAGTATTTACAAACGGCCGACGAGCCGTCATTAGTACACAAATGCTGGATTATTTTTCATATTGGCGACGCATGTGCTTGCAAACAGCTCAGACATGCGTGTTTCGCCGATGTTCTGGCGCTGAATAATCCGGCTGCAGACTGTTCGGCTCATCAGTTGGTCCCTCAGCGTTCTCGTGTGCTTTCGGTCATGCAAACCTCAGTTTCTGTACTGCGCCTTTCAATTTACTTGTTTTAGATCTTCACATGACCCACAAGCCTGACGATATGTCCCCAAAGCCAGAAGAACAATCCGTAAAGTCGAAAGAATTTGGAGGGTTAGGAGTACCTGAAGGAAATTTACGATCAGTCCAGTAGAAGTCGCATTTTCACTATTTAACGCTTCGCCATGTGCTCTCAGTACCGATACACATTCGAGACCTGTTTTTCACTCCATTGAGGCCAAAGTGCTTCCTTTCCTTCTAGGTTCTACAGTGCAGGATTAAAGTTATTAATCATCGTATAGGGGGTGGAGGCACGCGATACCTTGGGTAGGTGTCCGACCTACCACACACATAGGCCGCTGTAGTCTTACTTTTCCTTTTTATGGAGTACTCTTTGCTGGCTTGTTAGTCATTCATTCGTTGACTTCTTCCAATTTATAGGCAAATTTCAACTCAGAAACCGGTCAGTGGGTAATCGGTGGAATGGGTGATCTTCACCTGGAGGTAATTCTTTCGCGTTTGCGCCGGGAGTACAAACTGGATGTTGCAATGGGTCCCCTCCTGACCACTTACAAGGAAATGCCCCTCGTTGCTGATCTAGATGGTTCACAGACTCACATCAAGGGGTCAGCGAGGGCGGTTGTCGTCAAAACCGGACAGGTTGGATCCAGATCGCGCTCTCTACGTGTAGCGTTATCAGTAGATGCTGACAGAAGAGGCGCTGATCTTTCGGACAAACAACGGGTACCTGCTGCCCTGACATTTTTGAGTGTTTCGACTGCATGCTTTTCAATTTCCTGCTTAATCCAAATCAGGCGTACGCTTTTGTTTCGAGTTTATCTGACCTTTGTCCCTCCTTCCCCGCAACAGGTGTTTTTTGAGAAATCCTGGGCCGTGCCAACAGGTTCTGCAGGCCCGCCCACGGATTATCTGCACTCTTCTGTTTCATGGAAGAAGGTGACGAATCATCTGCGAGAGGCCTGCGACCTCGCCCTAGCAACTGGCGGCCCTCTGATGCGGTCTCGCGTTGTCGGGGTTAGCGTGCACATCAGGTCAGTGGGAGAGGTGGTGGGCAATGACAGTGAGGGCGAAGTGGTTCCTCTGAGGGTTCCACCCTCCGGCCAGGCTCTTACCTCTCTTCTGGCCCTACTTCGTGCGGCCACCATGCAAGCCGTCACATCAGCCCTTCACGAGCTATCCGACTGGCGTCTCATGGAGCCCATAATGACTGTGGAGATCCAACTGACACTGGATGACGGTAAGACCACCCTGGAGACCACGTTTGAGCACCCCATCTCTTTTGCTAATTTGTGAGTATGAATGGGCGTTATACTCTACTTTGAGGTCCGTAATCTCAGCAGTGACCAAGGCAATAGTAATAGTGTTAGTAGTAGTAGTAGTAGTAGTAGTAGTAGTAGTAGTAGTAGTAGTAGTAGTAGTAGTAGTAGTAGTAGTAGTGTAGTAGTGATGGGACCCCGACGGGTCTTTAATAAAAAGTTATCTTATCTATCTAAGTAGTAGTAGTAGTAGTAGTAGTAGTGGTAGTAGTAGTAGTAGTAGTAGTAGTAGTAGTCCGATTCCCAGATAGCATATCAAAAGAAGAGGCATTTGCCGAAAGAGGTTTATTGGAGGTGTAATGTTTCGAGTAGTTATTTCGCCCTAGCAGTTTCATAGACTAGAAAGTCATGCGCACAGCCCTCATTCCGTGGCGTACTTTGCTTGATGCGTAGCCCTCCAATACCGTCTGTGTGGCTGCATTTGACCTAACACTAATTCGCTTTACGGGCAGTGTGTGAATAATGACGTGTTGATCCAACCACTAACACAAACAAACCATTCTCGGTAAGACCGCGGCCTCAGTATTGCAGGGAAAGGCCCTTTCCTGGGATAATAGAACGATCAATGTCAGCCTTGAACACACAGCATGGCCAAATTTCAGCGGGCGCTTATCGACTTTGCCCTGTCACTCCTGCTGGCGTATTGTCCCGATTGGCCAATGCCTTTTCCACTTTTCCTTGAGGCTGTTGTACACCGCATCCAATTCTACGTGCCGGTTAATGCATGCGTTCTATACACCTTTTCCTTTATTTTTTATATACACCCTATTATAATGATCTGGGGGTTAAGCCTTATCATCCGGAATTGCATTAAATAATCCTGGATACTCCAACATCTATTTCCGGTCCCCTCATACGGGTGCGTATTTTGCCACCAGGGACTGAACTGCACTGCTCCTGTTTTCTTGATCAGTCATTTATATTTCCTTTGTGCCTTGTGTTCGGCCACTGTCATGGTCGTACTAACAGCCTAATTTCGAGAACATAGTTGGGGTATGTGCTCAAAAGTAGGGACATTAGTCAGTGTGAACAGTTTTAGTAAGAAATCATATATTAATAAGCATTCGCTGCCCTGTTGTTGCCCGTAGACCTGTCTGATATTTTCAAAAGCTAGCTTTAAACTTCCAAATGGAGAAATTAGTGTATTATTACTGTGTTCTGGTGTGATCTCTACATCTAAATGACACGCTACCTCGTCCATGGATGCAAATCATCCCATCCCGCAAACGGAGGGAATGACAAAACTGGGGATTTTTTTGCATGACTACTACCAGTACTGTCTCCAGCACCAGTAGCAGCTTGCTCAAGTACCTGTTTGATATCCTCTTTCAGTAGCTTGGTTATATTCTTCCGAATTTTATTAATTTCAATAAGTCTGGTAGGGGAAGTCCTCCCACCATTGTATATTCCCGATCGAAAACGACAAGGCAACGGGCTCGTGGCCCAGTGGTTAGAGGCGTCGACTTCCAACTGACAGGTCGCGAGTTCGAGCCTCGGGTGTTCCACACTTCGGGTTTGGAATGACTGGCTGACGACGGCTAATATGCCAGAAATGGTCATTCCAGTCTCCCCTGCCTTTGTCGTTAATAACATACTGTTTAATAAGTCCCGCTTCTCCTAAAGTTGCTCTTATGAATTTTGCACTATAAAGAAACGTACGGCTCCACCAGAGTGTCAGTCTCTTATTCAATTTTTGCAAACTGGCTTAAAATTGCGACGGACCTGGTGCTGTTGCACGCGTCTCTGGCATACTGCGCAGAACTGAGAAGGCGAACTAGCCTGCAAATTTTGCTTCGGTTGCGCCTCCTCGATGCCTTTTACCAGTTTCTTTCAATCTCCCATTGTGCTTTTTTTCGAAAGTTCGAAAATGCATGACTCTACAGTTTCTTTATGACAGCGATAATATCGGGAACTGCAACCAAGCGCGAGAATTCCACGCGAACTATTCATTTCGAGTCGCGCTTTGAAACGTCCGGAGGCCTTTTTAAGGAGCAGGCTGAGACGTTCTGAGGCATTGAATGTGTCCGATGGCCAGAGCAGGGGGTATTCGGAAGTCAGAAGGTAGTACTGGTTGAAATTTTACGCCCCAGTCATAGTCCTCAACCTCTGACTTCTGATTTTATTGTCCTAGTTTTTAGACTAGGCTCTGGCCGCTGTGCGTGGGGTTGTGCTCGTGGATGATAGTGACTGTTGCCCACCCACTATCCCAGCGACAGTCTTATGTGTCGCGATA